TGGATGAGGTTGTACGTTTTTGAATTATATTCGTGGATGGAACTAATTATTACTGTATAGATAAAATTATCATCTTTATTTCATTTCGTTTATCTGAGTCAAATACTAAGTCGAAGCTTAGTCAGAAGTTTCAAAATGTTTTAAATCTGAGTTCCTATACTGCAGTTTGTGCACTGTACAACTGAGTCTTGGAAAAATAACAACCAAATATGCTAAGTTGGCTTTTCTAACAGTGACCCAAAAAATGATTTAGCTATGCATTTACCTAAGTGTTGTGAAGCATGAAGAAAGATCGCATGCTTATTCTTTCACCACTGGACTATTTAAATTTACATATGTACACAGAAGTGGACAGAATTGGAAGATTTTTTTTATTGGCATTCAGGAATGCACAAAATGTATTAAGGTAAAGAACATTTATTTAAACTTGGTTCTAGTAAATTGATAATTGCATCTCCTTTATAACTATATATGAGATACAGTTTTTCTTAATTGACTAGGGGTGAAGTTTTCTTAAATTTACTTTCATATTAGTAATCCTGTTAGGTCCCGATAAACATGATGAATGGTAACTTTGGGATCCTTTTATGGACTAAGACTAAACGTATATTTTTATCGTATAATTGCTAAGTAACTAAACTATTCATATTCATGTCTCTCTTATTATGAGCTTTATTTTGACCTATGAACTATTATTATACGTTTTATCATTCTTGAATTATACCCTGTCTATTAGTCACTGCCTCACATATTCACAGCCACATTTGGCCAAATTTTGTACAAATGTTATTTTCTATTTTATGGTACGATGTGGTCTGTTTGATTGGTATATAAACTCAGTATGTTTGAAATATGAGCATTCATATTGCAGAGGCTGAGACTAGTGTTCTGGACTTAACTGGTTGGGCTAGGCGGGAAGCAGGACCAATCAGGACTCTTGGCTGCTCGCATGTGTTTTACGCGCCCTCTGATCGGCGGTCACAAGTTATAACAAATCCAAAGTTTTTCAATTTACCATGTTTATAATACTAATTCCATTTTTTAGTTTATTGTAAGTGTATATTCATTTGACTCAAAATCATATATTGTAGATGAGATTTCTTTAAACATAAAAGATAAAGAATAGGAATTAGCTGTATTAGCTAATCAATAGTTTTGTTTAGATAGAAAACTGTACTTCTAATATCAATGTTTATTCCTCCGGAAAGTAAAACACTAAGAAACTGTCACAAGTGTTAATCGAACTGTATTAAATACTTTATGGGAAACACCAAAATTGATATATTTTTCATGTAAGATGAACGTATAGACTATAAATCTACAATATAAAGACAGACCATTCATTGTATTGTACAAGAAACTGTTCTCTATCTCCTACAAAAAAACATGTTAGCCAGAAGAAAGTTTTAATGATTTATTCAGTCAGTCATAATTTTCTTATTTGAATTAACTTTCTAAAACTATCTGGATATGTACTTCATGTGATGGCCTGTATTTCCTCTAGACATTGATACATTGAATTAGATCATATTACAATGAATATGTTTACTATTGTATCTGATGTATTAAAAGTTTTGAACTAAAAATTAAGTTCGATTATTTTGAGGATTAAAATCAAACGACTTACTGAATTCCCCCACCCTTCACACACACACACACACACACACACACACCGAAATTCATACCTTATTGACCATACACTTGTATTAAATGTAAATTTCTATAATCTTTATTTAACATTAGTACATTATTGTCATATATTTGAAGATAAAGAATACTTCATGTTGGTGTTTAACGATTTCGCTTCTCTATCACAAGCAGAACTATTTGCAATTTTGTTCCTTAGTCAAATAACTGTTATAAGGTAAATGAATAGTGATCAATCAACAAATATATGAATGTATTATACCGATGAATCAGTCATCTTAAATTCGTAGATACGTTTTTTCCAATTTTATTTATTTATTAATTTTAACACATTAATATTGGTACAAGGAGGTTTAGGAGCCCGTGGGTCTCGACTCCCATTTAGATCGTATGGATGTTTGCTATCGCCTATTCTCGTATATCATCGTCGACTTAAATCGCGTTATCCAATAACGGAATTAAATAAGTCGAATAACGAGAATTGATTTGTGAATACATATATTATGTATATGAAGTGAATGAAACAGAGCCAAGCAAAATGATGCACAGGGAGAATGGCTGGAAAGCCAACTCCATCTTTGTCAAGCGTTACTCAATATTTATAGTCAGACAAAATAAAGCTACAGACATGTGATTAATGGAATAAGAAGGGCACACACATATACGCTCATATAAAAACAGTTTAGATTGATAAGCGAATAAATAACAAGGTCAATGTATGGCTCAAGTAAAATGAATAGAATGGGATGTCCGAAAGCTCGAATAAGGTATATGGGCTTGGCATAATAACTGACACTACAGAGGCACCAAATACATATGCGCCACCCGGGCTGTGATACTGCCCGGGTGCCCAAACCGAAGCAGGTGATTTTCTTAGTGGGCCACTCCTTGAGCCTTCGACCTGAAGGTCTGATCTACAAGGCAGTGGAGCAACGTAAGGAGATGCAGTCCCATGGAAGTCGGTGACCAACGATTGGTTCATACGCCATTTGTTCCCGCAGGATACTGGAGCCCATGTGCACCAATGGTTTGGAATCCGGTTAAAGCGCCGGACATTCGCTTTTTGCCCTCTCATTTTCGTAAACAATACCCCCGCCACGAGATGGCAGTGAGTCGGACTTCCCTGGTAGAGGCTATATACGCGTGGCCGTGTGAGAGCATTTCGAGAGGGAGAGCGGTCTCTTCCCACTCTCGGCCGTACCAGGGCATTTGGGGGCTTTTCCAATTAATACCAACTATAACAGAATACACGTTTCAGATGATCTACCGATCACCCAAACATATCACTACATACAATCCCTAGTCATTTAGACTAGTGATTAAAATTTAACTTAATCTATAGAATATGATCAACAATGAAGACTAGGCAAATATGGTAGGAATTATTGTTTAATGGTCAGTCACTGTTATTTAGATATAAGTATTTTACAATAAAGAGGTTGAAACTCATTACTTCAGTGTATAATGATTAAGAGATCATACCTACAATATCATATGGAATTATAAGGATATTTTTGATGTTTTAAGATAAAATTGTTAAAAACATTGAAAAAAAGTTTTTTTTTAAGCGAAGATAGATAGTGACTAGCAGTGGAATCGAGTTTGACGCGCGTTTTGTCCTATTTGGAACTCACTAGCTGGATGTACGTGCATCCCGGTGTTGATGTTGAATCTGGGTTTGGAACCCAGTACCGTTCACTTCATCCAGATGACGAGTTCCAAGTAGGACAAAATGTGCGTTTTGGATCCAACTGCTAACTACTATCCATTTTCACTTATAATGCTTGTAAATTAAGGCAATACCGAAGCAATTCGCACAGTATGCACATATTCTAATAAGAGACTGATCAATTGCAATCCTCAACATCCATTGGAATATTCGAACGTACAATACAAAATGAATATGAATTGTAAGTTTACGCAAAACGTTTTCAGGGAATCCAAATGATAAACACAAATTGTTCATCCATTTACGAACTAATCAATAATACAAGCTTCCAACTGTTTACTATCTGATCATTAACTAATGTTATTTCAATATGAAATTTATTTTCAAATTGTTGTCAAGTTTCTAATAAACCTAATTTAAGCATCTAACTAATCACTGTGTTAGATCGTTTGAACTAGAAAAACCTATTCTTTGTTAACTTTAATAATCATTTTGATGCAAACATAAATACTATGCAAAAGTTTATTTCGTGATGTTAATAAAGGTGCTTAATACTTGTTATGTAATGCATGCTACTTATCCTGACAGATATAAGTAGTATATAACACCAATCAGAAATGGAAAACCTGGCAGTAGAACTTGGAGAATTATACAGAATATGAAAAAAAATGATGAAAATTTTAAAATGAAGTATTTTAGTGTATAGTTCTTATATTTTACCAAAAATACAATCAATTGTCTTCAACTGTATTCACGTTTATTACGTTTATACTGAACAATAAATAATACTGAACACTTTAATCCAATCTGAATATAATATTAATGTTGTATGCATTTGATGTTCATCTCGTTGAAAATGCCTTAATCAATTGATTATTCAATGAGAAATTACATGATAAATAAAAGATATTTAGTGATTGTGATAGTTGTGTGACTAGTACTGATGGGGGAAAAGTACCCCCTTTCAAAGTGACATTAATTAACCAATGGTACTAACACACAGTTCTGAGTTGAAAAAAAGAAAGAAAACAAACTGTGACAAAAAGAATAATAAACTATTAACAATGATAACAATAAGAATATAATCTAATTGAATAGATTGTTTAATCAACAAGTATATGTATATAGATAATGATAAACAAATTAGACTCTTTCACAACCACTGAACAAATACATTAAAATATTCGAAGAGTTTTTGTGGATATTCTAGTCATTTTAATGATTGAGATCATAAGTCCATTGAAGATAGACCACGATGAAAAACATGAAAGCACTACATGGTACGTTTCGTCCTATTGTAGGATCATGAATGTACACTGCTAAAGAGTCCCATAATACAACAAAACAGCTTTCCAGTGTTTCCAAGTTTTTCATGATGATCTAACTTCAATAGATTGATGATTTCAATCATTGAACTGAAAAAATCTTCATAAGAGATATCAATGTATGTAAAGAAATAGATTATTTATTTAAATAATAATAATTTACTAATTCTACATTTAGTATTCACAAATGATATTTGTATGAATGTTTAATATAGTTAAGTAAATGCATCTCTTTATTGTAGATAGACCATTTCATTGGATTACATTACGTAATAATAATAATAATAATAATAATAATAATAATAATAATAATAATAATAATAATAACTGTTTAAAGTATATTGATATATAGATTATTTCTATTGATTATTGATTGGAAGATCATTTTCATTAGTTTGTTCATTCAATTTAATTGGTACACTTGATATAGTTGACTCTTTCAATGATACATGATCATGATCATGAATGACAGAAACTGTTACATTCACCGGTGTTGATTTTGTGATTTGCCAATTATTTACTAAATTCGATGATGTTACTTTTAATAAATTTAAATGATCTACACTTTTAGTTTTCTTAATGATTTTTGAATGATTTAATTTACCTTGTTTCATATGATACCATTTACGTAGATTTGTATTGAATAAAGTTGATGTACTAGATCGATTATTCGTTGAATGATTCCACCATTCAGGTTCAGAACTTTTACGTAATAATAATGTATTCCAATGTGATGATTTACGTCGTTTAAAATAATTCACTGGATGTGAGAATTTATTAATTTTTTTACATAATTGATAATTTCGTTCATTAGGATTATGTTTATGATTATTACGACATTGACTACTAATATGATCATTAGTAGTAGTATTCATATTATCACCAGTTCTACAATTATCAATACCATCTTCATCAATGCTATCTTCTGTTTCTCCTTCTATTTGTACATCATCTGTTTCACGAATGGCCTAAAATATTACATTAATATTGTATATAAAGTTTTAAAAGAAAAGATTGAATTAAGGTCATTTTAAAGTAGAAACTAATAAAGGATAGATTATCTTATAAATGAATCAATCAGGTATAAGATAATAGGTCTCAGATTTTGGGACGAAATAGTCTAAATAGAGTTCTGGAATTATAGCTGATGACAGTGTGTGATGAAAACCCTAAATCTAATTCCTCATCTTAACCATCAACTGTAAATCATGATTCTAATTCCTCGCACTAGTTTATAACCCTCATTTGGTCATAGATATTAGATGGACACTCTCAAGGTCACTCTAGCGTCGCTCAAAGGTTGTCCATTAATTATAGTCCCACCAGATTTAGTAGTTACTATTGGTTATCAAGCAATCACATTTATAGAAATAAGAAATATCACAGATTTTTTCAAAGTACTGAGTTCGCCATTTAGCATGATCACAGCTGAAGAAGCCAGAAAACAACCATGAATTCTATCAATTTATAAGACATATGGTAAATAAACAGTTATTATTTATTGTTATATCTAAAGGTTAGATTCTTAATATATCGCGTATAACTTGAGCATTTGAACGCTAGAACCATCCAAGTTGCAAATGACAAGTGAAAGGAACGCTATTCCAAGCAGTGTTAAATATGGTACAAAACTACCAGGTATTTATAGTTTTTTACTAAAAATGAAATCATCAGTATAGTCCTTCAATCCACATACAGTGGGTTTTTAGCATTTGTCCAATAGGGAAGCTACACGTAGTGATTCTGGAATATTCTTCCAAAAGCTGATTGGATGGATTATCTTCGTCTCTCTGAGCTTCTTAGAGCTTCCTCGAGTTCACCCGTTTGCCATCATCACAAATATATTTTTTTGTAAGCAAGTTAAGAAGATGAGTTGGAATTTAATTCTTTTCTTTAATAATCATCATGATATATTGAGAAATGATCAAACATGTAAGTATTCCATTTCTATATATTGATCTAATTGCATCAAGTATACTATAAAAACTGAAGATCCTGAATTCAGGTAGAGTACGGTTCAATTGAGAATAAAAAGGTTATCTGATTCATCTTAATTTTTGATAATTTTTTCCACTATAATGAGTATGATCAAAAATTATCTTTAAATTAAACAAAACATTACATATAATTCTACTAATCCCACATTGTAGACGTTTAAAAATATTGTGAATCAGAGTCCAGTAGTAATTTCATGTATATATGATCGTGTAAAGTGGTTGGATACAACTGACTAACTACTAATTTGTAATAATCTAATCCTTTGATGTTGATTGATAGAATTGGATGAATAATCTAAACACAAAATCAGAGTCATATTGTCATTTCATTTCATTTGAATAATTTATTTGTCATTAACTTTATGGTAATAATGACCTTCTAAGCTACACCTACCTGAAAACTGAACATAATTCACATGATGCTGAGCCATGTAGACTAGACGAACATAAAATTAGTCATACATAGTTCTATTTGGTGAAGACGCTGACAAATGCAGAGTCTTCTGACCACTCTAAGCAACAATGCAAGCATGTTCGGGATGCGATTCTCCCCCACGAAATGTAAAATGTTGCTTCAGAATTGGGTTGCATTGACACCTGAACTAATGATAGGGAGTGAAGTAGTTGAGTGTGTCGACCGCCTCACTTATCTTGGAAGTCTCGACAGCCCTTGTGGTCTGGTGTGTGACGAAATCTCAGCACGGATACAGAAGGCTCACTAGCTTTTGCCAACTTACGTGTTTACTGTGCAGCAGTTCGTTCCGTCCTACTTTATGGCAGTGAAACATGGCCGGTAAGAGTAGAGGATATCCGTAGGTTACTAGTATTCGATCATAGGTGTCTTCGAAACATTTCTCGTATATCGTGGGACCATCGAGTAAGTAATGCAGATGTTGGGAAACGGGTACTAGGTAAGGATGGCAAATTCATTGATGAGGTAGTGAAACTTCATCAGTTGAGGTGGCTGGGACACGTGTTACATATGCTCAACGACCGACTGCCTCGATGTGCGATGTTTTGTTGTTTAGGAGTAGATTGGAAGAAAGCAAGGGGTGGCCAGACCAAAACATGGCACAAGTCCATGAATTCACTGACAAGTCGACTGAGCCATATTGGTAGGTGTAGACTACCTGGTTGGGGACCGCGAGATGATAGTAACCGATGGTTAGAGACCCTGAATGACATGGCTGAAAATCGTTTGCAATGGCGCAGGTGTATCCACTCTTTGTGTTCTCCCAAATTCTAATCTTCTGGATTCTTCATGTCCCTTTCATTTTCTCTTTCCAAATTTACTTCACTGTATTGTACCCCTTGAATAACATCTTCAAACCCTAATTTTTCTGATTACAGCTTATAATATTACTACATCTAGCACTACGGGATTTGAATCGACCACTGCATCTGTGTGCTAATGTGGTATGGCAAGTCGAACTGATGTACGTACGTACGAAGTTCTACGTTGTTACTGACTGACTAACATTAATCACCAGTCGGTGATTTATCAATTGTACATACTGATATGCCTTTAACATTCAGAATAAAATACACTCAGTAATTTAATTTAAAAATCTTACCTGATTTACTATTTCATTTACTAGTTTTAAATCATCATACAAATCTTTACGATTGCTAACAACTAAAGGATCACGTCCAATTTTATTTAAACGTTCAGCTGCAACAGATTCCATAGTTCGACGCATTAATGGATAATTATCTAATACTTCCAAAAAACTTGCTCTATCTAATGAATAAACATTGCAATATGTCTCTGCTCGAACACTTGCTACACGGCGAGCATTTGTCAATAGACATATTTCTATAATAGAAAAAGTGTGTTTATTTTTTAAAAGGATCCAAACAATGTAAATGAAACAAATTATATGACAATTTTAAAATAATTTTAGTAGTTGAGATCATGAGTTAGTGGAAGCTAGACCACCATGGAAAATCTGAAAGCAATGGACAGCCGTCTCATCTTATTGTGGGACTCCTCACTAGTGCGCATCCACGATCCCACACGCGGGATTCAAACCCATGACCTTCATTCTCGCGCGTGAACACTTAACCTCTAGACCACTGAGCTGGCCGGCATGCAACGGTGTTAATGTCTAACTTCAACTAATCCAATAAATTGAGCGGTCCCACCTCGTGAGATTCGAATACAGGACCTATCAGTCTCGTGCGCCACCATCCACCATTGTCATTGTTGCGGTGATCCAGAAAATTGCTTGTAAAAGACAAGCAATCATTAGGAAACACTAAGAAGCGTTTCATCCAATCAGCTTTCACTTGAAGTCTTAGCCAAAAATATCAAGGAAGTGAAACGTCACATGCGGAGGCCCTGATTGGTTGGCTGCTACACTGCTACTATGTTTAGTAGCATTCCAGAATCTTCTAGCAACTTAAAGACATTTAAAATATTATGAAAACCCTGTATTTTCTGTATTAAAAGGAACCTTGGAGTAAACTACTTCTCGCATACTTTGAGTCTTCTCTCTCGTGTTCAGGTCACTGTATAATTCTAGCTTGGGGGTTACAGAATAGCTTAGGAAACAAATATAGCGTTCAATCTGCAAGACTTATCAGTCATCAATGAGTTACAATCTCACAACAGACCAGGCTGAACTCCATTGGTCACTACTTCTCACTAGAACTCCATGAAGTTAAATTAAAAATGTACTACTTCAAGAAAATTCCTATGACAATACACAATACCTATTTATTTTTGCCTTTTGTTTTTTTGAACTTATCGAGTGAATCCACTTTTATTCCATTTAGCTTACCTTGCCAATGTGAATTGAATTATGCACTCATATAAATTAAAACTACTTCCAAAATACTGAAAAATATAATCAATATTCAATACCAGAACTCAATAACTAATAGAGATTCATCAATGCATGTTTGTAATTCTTGGTAGTGAATTAAAGAATGAGATATATCTTTTATGTATTATTGTTATGTCGCGATAAGCATAATGAATGGTAACTTTTGGGATCCTTTTATGGACTAATACTAAACGTATATTTTTATCGCATAATTATTAAATAACTAAACTATTCATATTCATGTCTCTCTTATTATGAGCTTTATTTTGACCTATGAACTATTATTATACGTTTTATCATTCTTGAATTATACCCTGTCTATTAGTTACTGCCTCACACATTCACAGCCACATTTGGCCAAATTTTGTACAAATGTTATTTTCTATTTTATGGTACGATGTGGTCTGTTTGATTGGTATATAAACCCCGTATGCCTGAAGTAAATGATTGATATTGAAGAGGCTGAGATTGGTGTTCTGGACTTAACTGGCTGGGCTAAACAGGAAGCAGGGCCAATCAGAACTCTAGACCACTCATACGGTTTTACGTGTCATTGATCCGATCGATAAGTCACTGCTCCCTAATTGGCGGTATCGTTACATTATACGATATACATTAACAGGGCGCACAGACCAACAAGTTATAACAATTATCTAACCAATTCTTAAGGATATCAGTTATGCAACTGTATGTTTTTCTTATGAAACTAACTTAGATTACTTTACAAAATCTACAAGCTTTTTGAATAGTTATTTCATTTGATTATTAAGCTGGATTATCCAATAATTCATTCAAATCTACATTTGATACATAGAAACAGTAAAATCGGCTAAAAGTCTTAACCAAATATTCAAAATTCACTTCTATAAATAGTAGTAACTTTACCATATGAAAGCTAATAATGAATTTAATGAAGATTTATGGAACGGTGGTTTAATGGTTAAAGTGCTCGACTTTTACAAGTAGGTCCAAGACTCGTATCCCATTGTACCTACTCTGTTTTGAGTGTTCTAATACTATCACTAGCTCTCATGTTAACAATTAAAATTCAAGCCGAATACACAAACCTGTACATATAAGCCCGATTAATCGAGTTACATGAATATTTGACATATGCATAAGAACGACTAATCACAAATGTCAGTTAATAACAATAAAATAATTAAACTCTACCAATGAGGTCTAAAGTTATGCCTAAAAAAAGTACACTCACCTCCAAAATATGAACCATCTGACAGACTAGTGGCTACTTCACCATCTCTTGTAACAATATCCACTATACCTTCTTGAATAAAATACATTTTTGTACCAATTGTACCTTCTTTAATAATCAAATCGCCTGGTTGAAACACTTCATAACGTAATTTAACAACTACTTCTGAGACAAAATTTTGGTCAGCAAATGTGAAAAATGGTACAGCAGCAACTAAAGCTCGACAATTGTAATTGATAATTTGCTTAAATGTAGAAAACAAAAAAAATTATGTTTATCAATATAGGGTTATGGAGATTGTTAGGTTTAGATTGATATCATGAATGGATCAATGATAAACCACCATTGAAAACCTGGAAGCAATGAATAGCCATTTCGTCCTAGTATGGGACTCCTTATGTACTCACTAGTGACTTGCTTCAAGATGGATTTCATGGAGTTCTGATGAATTGACGTGACCAGTGGACTTCAACCATGCCTGTTATGAGGTAGTTACTAACTGAAAACTATGGTGAACGGTGATGCATTATCGTGGATTGACTGAAGTTACACATTAACACTGTTATATGCCAGCTTAGTGGTTTAAAGGTTAAGCTTTCGTGCGCGACGTCGAAGGTCCTGGATTTAAGTGCCGCATGCGGGATCTTGGGTGTGCTCTGCTGAGGAGTCCCACATTACGGCGAAACGACTGTCCAGCGCTTCCAGGTTTTCAGTGGTGGTTTAACATCTGTGATAGCTGTCTCAATCTTGACATTGGTAAATTCCACCAGTTATAATTTATTACTAAAACACCATCAATTTTTCTTAGAGTAAGTCATTAGGGCAGAATTGCCTATTACTATGTAAGATTATTGTAGATAGTCTTCTGCTCTGGTGTGTGCTACTTATATCAGCATAAGTAGTATATAACGTAAATCAAGAATAAAATATCTGGCAGCAGATGGTCAAGAAGATCGAGGAGGAAAGAATAGTAACAGAAAATAATTGGTATGAGAATTCAGGAACATTGAAGTCTGAGACGACTGACTAATATTTGCAAGAGGAACAGTCAAGTTTGAGACAATTGATTGACATTTTACAAATTACGTATTCACGGCGAGACTATAATTTATGGACGAACCAATCAGATTTACGATAACAAGTCTTAGATTTTGGTGCGAAATTCATTCACCCATTTGGTTAAATAGCGTCTCGGCATTATAGCTGACGTCAGTTCACGATGAAAACCTTAAATCTAATTCCTAACCCCAACCATCAATTGTAAATCATAATCCTTATTGTTCAAAATGCTTTATAACCCTCATTTAGCCCTAGTAAGTAGGTAGGCACTCTCAAGGTCACTTTAGCGCCGCTCAAAGGTCGTCCATAAATTATAATCTCACCGTATTCACTGTATGGTTCTCAGATTTTACTAGAATATTCTGTAATTTTGTGTTCATATATATTCGATTGTCCACACTTGTGCACTGCTATCTGGTTTTCAATAATTATTGAGTTAAAGTCAGTCTATTATATGAGCTATTCAAATATTATCAGAAGGGGTTTTTGTGGTGATTTTAGAAATTTCACTGATTGAAATAATCAGTCAATTGAAGCTAGATCACCATGGAAAACCTGGAAGCACTGGACAGCGGTTTCGTCCTACTATGGGACTCCTCAGCAGTGCGCATCAAATATTGTATAAAAGTGTTTCCTTTAGGTTTACTTATTAGGCGACTATGAATTGGTATCAAATTTTGAAATCTTACTCCATTTAAGACATTTAAGTCATTCCCTCTTAATAATATTAGTTCAATGAAAAGAAATAGTACAGTTTGATTACAACATCTTGACCTTATCAATAAATAACACTTGAATGAACAATATTAGTTTACTTATTATTAATCCATACATCATTCAGTGACATTTTACGCACGAAAAAAACTAATTTTATTAACACTAAAATCATTTCAGATAACAATTGACACTTGATTCTATTTAGATTGTATTACTTTGATAGTAGAAAACGGATTATTATTAAGGGAGAGATAACGCTTTGTAAAATGTTAATGTTTCTTTACTAGTCAAATGTAAACTGCTTAAGTGAAAAAAAAGTAATCGACATGAAGATAAAGCCAATAAACATCAAAGTAAATACATCAAAGTCAAACATCTTTCTCTATCTCACCCTTTATAAAGTCATTATTTGATGATATGTGATAAATTAAACTTAATTACTTTGTAGACCATTTTATATATTTTTTTGAGCAATTTATAAAGTCTAACTTCAACCAATTCACGAAGTTGCGCCAACATACACCACTGTCTTCAGTGAGCTGATATCCCACAACAGACCTGGTTGAATTCCACTGGTAACGACTTTTCACTAGAACTCCAGGAGTATCTGTTGAAGTCAGTCATTAGTGAGCAGATGATTATTGTCAGAAGGGGTTTTGTGCTCACTAGTGACTGACTTCAGGAGATACTCCTGGAGTTCTAGTGAGAAGCCGTTACCAGTGGAATTCAACCAGGTCTGTTGTGAGATATCAGCTCACTGAAGACTATGGTGTATGGTTGCACAACTTCGTGGATTGGTTGAAGTTAGACATTAACACCGTTGGATGCCGGCTCAGTAGTCTAGAGATTAAGTGTTTGTGTGAGAGAATGAAGGTCCTTTGTTAGAATACTGTTTTCGGGATCATGGATACACGTTATTGCGAAGCTTCATACTAGGACGAAACGGCTGTCTAATTCTTCCAGAAATTTAATGTTCGTGTAACTTTCATCGCTTCATGTTGTCAATGAAAAATTCAACAATCTCTACTGACGAATCATTTTGTGTTTGAAACTTTCATACATACCGGTATATGATATAATATACATTAGTTACAATGTTGTTCGTCATATTAATAGCTAAATATTAGCATCTTTGGTTGTGATAACAGACAACACATGTTAAAATCTCTGAATAGTCACTTATTCCCTGAAGATAGGAGACATATCTGACTGATGAAATCCAGCTTTAGGGAATCATTATAACTCCCTATTGCAATCTAATAAGAACGTTTCTGGACATTCCAAAAGGTATACTATCAAAGTCTCAAACACATAAGTTCTAAGTAAATGATAGTTTACCAGTGATATTCGGACGTAATTTTATGAATCTCACTAATTTTATTTTTCTTTAAACTTAATCCTGTAGTATGATTATTACTTCCATCTAGTTGTATCCAGATGTCTTGAGATCGAATGTTTGAATTTCACTTATTCGAATACTTGTATTTTGTACTAATATTATTCTATAGTATCCATATAAAGCTGGATTGAACATCAACAAAATGACTACCAATTTTGATATGTCATCGTTGAAATAAAAAGTTCAGAGGTATTTGTACTTATTGCTTAAGTACAGAACAAATACAAGTTTGTACAGACAATGGAAAAATATGTATCATTGTTATATTATTCCAGTGAAGATTAAATTACAGGTAACCTCTGAGAACTATGAATGACCTAATATCATCTACTGAATCAAATCTCAATGTTATATCCTAGCGGAGATTAAATTACGAGTAACTTCCGAGACCCATTAATGGACTGGTGTGATCTATACATTCTTATTGTATAACTACTAAGTAATTGGACTATGTATATCTATATTCCTCTTATTATATGCTTCATTCTGACACATAGATCAATATCTTACGATTTACTGTTCATAAGTTATGTTCAGTTTATTGATTACAGTCTCCCACGTTCACAACCACTTTTTGGGTTGATCTTGTATCAATATTATTTCCTACTTTATGATGTGATGCGGTTCATTTGGCCTGGTATATAAACCAAGTATGTTTGAAATAAATAATTCGCATAGTGGAAGATTGTTATTGGTGTTCTGGACTCAACTGAAAGGGCTTGACGAACAAAGGACCGATAAGAATGTTAGGCTGCTCATACCGGTCGAATGTCATTGGTTTCGCACAGTCGTATTTCGATTGGCCAAAAAATTTCATGATGACAACCTGAGCTTTAAGTCATAACAGTCATAGTCAAATGAACATTTACAAAAGAAATAAAATTATATTTACCTCTTTTAAACATTCTGAAAGTTCATTGAGAATTTCATTTTCATTAAACATTTTCCCTTGATATCGATGTTCATAATAACTAGCAATACGTTTACGTAAACCACGTGGAAGTTTTCTATATGCCATATATTCATCCACTTGTTTAAACTAAATATTTATAAAATAAAACTATTTTCAATGATTTCATCATAATTTTATAATTCAACAAATTGCTGAAGAAATAAAAGAGGATAGCATAATATCGTAGATTAGTTGAAGATGGACATTAACACTGTTGGATCCTGACTCAGCCGTCTCGAGGTTAAGCATTCTTACGTGACTGAGAGTCCTTAGTTCGAGTCCCGTATTCGGGATCATGGATGCGTGATGTTGAGGAGCCTCATACTAGAACGAAACGGCCATCCAGTGCTTCAAGTTTTTGAATGGTTGTCTAACATTGATTGATTCATCATCCCAAACTAAACTCAATAATCTTCACTACCCTATACTGGTATATATAGCATTTCATTTTATTTAAGACTCGTCAACTGGATGTGCTTGTATCAGCGAGTTAATTTAAACGCTTAAACACTTATTATTAGTAAGTAATTTTATAATGTCGAAAATCCTAATCTGTTGGATTTAGTCTGAACTAACCTTTGGCTGCTTCTCATTAACTGAATAACGAATTATAGTCCTAATTTAAAATATTCACTGATCCATAAGTCAGTAATCAACAAGTTTGGATCAGTATTGTTCCATAACTCTTTACATAAGGCTAGAATACATCTATCGGAATTATTTGTGGACCATCTATCTGTTAATGTATATAATTCAGATACATAGAATTACACTTAATTCAAAATGTTACAGTGTTAAAATCAGCTGATGATAATCGAAGCTACATAGCGATAAAATGTATCTCACCATACATGTAATTTAATTAGTGACTAATTTTCTATAAAAATTTCATCCATCCATATGTAAATCATAATTATCAGCCAAAACTTGATAAAAACTGATTAGTAGTTGAAATGCATTGAAATTGGTAAGTAATTTGTGTATTAAATTGTGGTATGTACTACTTATGTCGACATAAGTAGTATATAACACAAAATAGTAATAGAATGCCTGGTAGCACAAGGTTGAAAATATCGAGGAGGAAAGAATGGGAACAGAAAGCAATTAGTATGGAAATGCAAGAACAATGAAGTCTGAGACAAGTAATGAAGTATTGGAGTATAATTTTTCTATTTTATCAAGTAACTCTGTAATTTTGTGCTAAATATAATCGGTTGTCCTCACCCATGTTCTCTTTCACTACTAAATTAATGACTATTTCTCATTTTAAACTGCAGAAGTAATTTAAACAGTTTAAATATACTGACATGAAGTAGCATATTACATACAAATAAATTATATAGTAAAAATAATAGTGAAATTACTTTCTCTCTGTAAAGACGTTTTGAACAATCAAATGATTGTATTAATGCTGCCGCATGACCAACAAATAAAGCATATCCAGTAGCTCCAGTAACCATACTTATCACTGTAACCCATGCTTCACTTAAACTGGTAGGTGGATATCTTCCATAACCAATAGTTAACATATGTGACATAGCTTTAAACAAAGCCCAAGTGTATTGATCAAACCAATAAGCATTCTGTTAAATAAATATTAAAGAAAAAATATGTATGTTAATATCCTCTGATAAGTTCGACTTCTAATAATAAGAGGTAATATATGATGGAAGAAAATTTGAAAGGGTGAATACAATCTTATACTAAGGTTCTAAGTGAATGGGGGTAACTTACGGAATGCCACATAACCATTCAGGAATGAGTAAAAGGCTTCAACGTCACGGCATATATACTGAAAAACTCTACCATTTGACTAAAATTGAGTGGCATGAATATAACGGCTTATCGCATTATGACAACTTCACTTATCTTGGAAGTCTGATCAGCCTTAATGGGTTGGTGTCCGACGAAATCTCAGCACCAATTTGAAAAGCTCGTTTGGCTTTTGCCAACTTACGTCACGTATCGCGAAGGCGAGATATCCGTTTATCAATAAAAGGACGAGTATACTGCGCAGTAGTCCGTTCCGTTGTACTTTGAAGCTGCAAAACATGGCCACTAAGAGTAGAAGATACTCGTAAGCTAATAGTATTTGACCACAGATGTGTTAGAAATATTGCTGGTATCTGTCGGGATCACCGGGTAAGTAACAGTGAGGATAGACGCAGGGTATTAGGGAATGATGGTAAATCAGTTGATGAGGTTTTGAATCTTCATCGACTGAGATGGTTGGGCCATGCATTACGTATGCCTGAACACCGATTATCACAACGTGCAATGCTAACCACTGTTGGAGATGGTTGGAAGAAAGTTAGGGGCGGCCAAACCAAAACGTGGCATCAGTGCCTGAAGTCACTATTTTGTGGTCTGAGCGATGTTGGTAGATGCAGACTACTTGTTTGGGGTCCGCGTGACTATCGTAACCAATGGTTGGAGACTCTGTGTGACATGGCTCAGAATCGATCACAATGGTGTCATTGTATACACTTTCTGTCTGCCCTTAAACTAAGAGACTAAAATGGCTTCATATCTTTCATTCCACGAACTAAGTCTTTCTTCCTGAACTATATCCTTATTGCAATTTTTCTTTTATATATTACCACCTCTGAATTAACTACTTTTATTAATCCGGTGCTGATCTTGTTGTGCTAATGCTGCATGGTAACTTGGACCGTTGCTTATATGTGCCTGGTCCTACATTGTAGCTGACTGACTGACTGAGCGAGGATAATATGATAAGATATTTATAAAATATTAAAAAGCACTTATATGTGAATGTCGTGAAGAAACCACCCTGAATATATGTATAGAAACACGAGATCAATTAGTTAAGATGTTAATGTTAGAATTTTGGGTTTGGGATATTAAAGTTAGAGAATCCATAGAAAACTTGGAAAAGTTCCCTAATAATGTAAAAACAATATCTTACCAGTAATTTTCTTCGTTTCCTATTTTAAATAGAGGTTACTGCCTTCTGACTGGTTAAAACGCGTTTTTCTTGCTGTCATGAAAACTCTTTTGTAACTCACCATTAAAAATTTATTTTAGTTAATCTGATGTGTTAACCCAAGCTAATGAACAACCATCTATAAGTGACTAGCTAAGTAACTAATTTACAATTACCTAAATAATAAAAGTGTAGGAAATATATAAATATAAAGATGATTGCACAAAATCACCAATTGATTAAAATTATGCCTGTACATCACCAGATTCCAATTAAGTGGCCTATAGGTTAAGCATTCGCTCGCGAGACCGAAGGTATCATGTTCGATTGCCGATGGTATTGTCTATGTGTACTATTGAGAAGTCTCATAATAAGGGGTGAAATAGCCGTCAGGTCGTTCCTGGTTTCTAAGATCAGTCTGCGGTTTAATCTATGAAAATTAAATACTTAAAAATGCATTTTTATCCTATTTGTTATTAGTATCCTGTTGATATTATTTTATTCATTCGTTCCCATTTAATTTCAAGCGATATCTGCACATTCACTTACTGACACAATAAACATGTAGTTACTTCATCCTATTGACATTTTATTACTTTGTCAGTCAAATAGTGTTATTGGAATTTTTTAATAAACGGAATACACTCATTAACACATTAAATAAGAAATATTAGTTCAGCGAAGAGTTCTCTTTTCAGTGAATTCATTTTCAAAGCTGTACAATCGCAAATATATATACTTATTTTTACAGGATCATAATAATACTGATAATAATCTGAAAGATAAATTATCGCTTCTGACCAACTCAATGTGCATTCACCAATTTACCTGCTCTTGTGGAGCTAGGTATATAGGTCGTTCGATGCGTACTTTATCCAAAAGAATTCAAGAACACTATCTGGCGTGGCTAAAAAGAGGAGGTAACGGCTCAGTAAGAAGTTCTATCATCGAACACCTTGTGAACACAGGTCACTCAATCAAGACAGACTCTGCGTTCAAAGTCATCTACAAAGTAAGTAGAAGTCTTCCTAAGACAATTAGACTGCATCTTCTTTGCATTACCGGAGCAATAGCCATACATCTGGAAAAACCAGAATTGTATGTGCAAAAGAGACTGGTACAACCTCTCCTTCTACCATGATCTTAATGTATTAAATTGTTCACTCTTTTTCTTACTCTTGTTCCTTTACAGCCATCTGCTTCACCCTCTATCTTCCCTTTAAATCTTCTTCCCCCAACTGGTTTTTTTTTATTTCCACGATCATTCCGATTACATTTCATCTCTGTTTCAACATTTTATTTTATCATACTGAGCCATCTTTTCCCAATGATAATTTTCCTATCTATCTTTTGATGAATACTTAAGCCATTAACAATCAAACGATTATTAAACTTTCCTTGTTTTAAAATTTTTTCCTAATATCTTTGTTTATTTAACCTCACTGTCACCATGTATAACAGAAGTTTATTATCAGTATTATTATGATCCTGTAAAAATAAGTATATATATTTGCGATTGTACAGCTTTGAAAATGAATTCGCCGAAAAGAGAACTCTTCGCTGAACTAATCTTTCTTATTTAAATAGTGTTACATTAATCGTTTATTTTATTTATTTACACATATTGATGCAGAAGTTATGTAGTGTTCTATTAAGCTCATCTATGTAATGCTAATTTTAATAGTCGAAATCATGAGTCAATTGAAGCTAGAATCTCGCAAGGTGGGATCGTGGATGCGCACTGCTAAGGAGTCCCACAGTGATTCCAGGTTTTCCATGGTGATCTAGCTTCAATTGACTCATGATTTCAGCTATATAAATTACCATAATATTCACAAAACCTTATCTGATATGTAATATTACTTAGTATGATGTTACGTAATCATATTAACATGATTATTCATTGATAAATTGTAATTTTAACGAATGACATTAAAGTTTTAAGATAATATAACATTATCTACTTACTTGTAGTTTACCTTTGGCTACCCAACTTTCTACTGGATAATCATGTAACATTGGTATAAGAAATTGTAAACAAGCATTCCAATGTCCAAGTAGTAGAAGTAATAAAACAAGATTAAATATCCCAATAAATTTACTTGCTAAATTAATAAACTAAAATAAAACAAACAAACAAAAATTCAACACATAATGAACCATATGGTTATGTTAAGTAGACAAAAAAAAGAGGGAAGTTAAGAAGAAAATAAATCTAAACAAATGGGATGCAAATAAATTTTGTAGGTAAATACTATATATGTTGTAATGTGTGCTACTTATATACATAAAAGTAGTATATAATGATAGTCAAAAATAGAATGTATTTCAGTAGAAAATCCAGAAGGAGAGAATAGGAACGGAAAACAATTGGTATGAAAATGCAGAAACAATGAAATCTGAGATGATGGACTGATATTTGCAAAGGAAACAGTCAGGTTTGAGACAATGGATTGATATTTTGCAAATTAAGCAAGGTAAAAGTGATTAAAAGTTCTATTCTCTCTCACTTGGTTGACACAGGTCATCAAGTCGAATTGAATAAAGCTTTTAAGGTTATCTACAATATCCCATCTAATTTGCCACATGGTTTATGAGTGCGCCACTTGCACATTGCGGAAGCCATCGCAATCCATGTTCACAAACCTGACCTTTGCATTCAAAAGAGATTCGTACAACCACTTTCCCTGCCCTGGCCATTAGTTTAAGATTTCCTTAAAAAGAACTATTTTTCATACTTCTTCCTTTTTTTTAATTTTTTTAAACTTTTGTAATTTTATTTCTGTTGCTTTTGAACTTAATAACTTCCCAACATTCATCTCTTGATTCTTACGTAACTACCATCCTATTGACCATCCGTTAAAATTCTGTCCCTTCTTTGTTTCTTATATTACGCAACATAGCAACTTCTTGATTACTTTGAATATTAATAATCCTCTCTCTTCCAATTACTGAATGTTAATTTAAATGTCATTATGTAATTATTACGTAACGTATCCACTCGATGAGTATTATATTATTATTGTAAAACGTATATATATATTAGTGTAGAGCCATGATGAAAAACTAATTGAAAAGAAATTTCTTCGCTCAATTCGTTCCTTCTTTATTTACCAAATTAAGCATTTACTGTAGAGTTCTCAGAAATGTTCTGGAATTTCGTGTTCGAATACATTCGACTGTTGCTATTCGTGTTCTCGTTCACTACAACATTGATAATGACAATGATGAAATGAAACGTAGATATTTTATCTTTTGGTGCCTGAATGAATTCAAATGTGGGCTGACAATACAATGACCATGGTTCTTACTTTACTTTTAACAGTAAATCTTGAGTGTATGGTTTTAAGTAATAAAAAAGTAGTGTTTTGTTTAGGTGTTATCGAAATATGTGTCCAACCTGTCTAGATTCACATATTTTTCACTCAAATACAGAAAGAAATATGCAGTGATAGATGGTGGCTAAAATTAAAGTCCATGATCTACGTTTCTTCTTATTTGGTAATACTTAGCCGAATGTGACTATATCCTAAAGTTGATGTTCACTTCGAGACATGAACTCAGTGCTTTACTCCGTAACTAGGTGGATGACATGATGGTGTTTGAGGCGTTCGGTATTAGGTTCGAGTCCTGAAGTGAACATCAATTCTGGAGTACAGGTACATTCAGTTAACGAGTGCTAAATAAGAAGGAATACGTATTATTGAACCATATTGCTATCCAACATCCAACTCTGATTACAATTCTTGTGATTTAATGGCAATATAGAAGCAATCCGCACAGAATGCACATATGCTAAAAAAGACTGAATAATTACTATTTTAAATATCAATGATAAGATTCAAACAACCGTTACATATGAATATAAAGATATACCATTCTGGAATAAAATTCACCTTCGCCTGTAAACCATGTTCATACTTGCATCTAAAGTAGTGATTGTATGGTTACTAGAACTTATTCATACAATCAAGGTGATCACTGAAAAAATTATTGGCTTTTACATTCATTTTAAAACAATAATATCCAAATACATCATTTTGGATGACAGATTTGAGTGAATATATGAAAGGTGTGACGAATTATTTATTATTGTGTAAGCCAGTCTGAACAATGAATTTAAACTAAAGTTATTTTGGTTTCATTCTGAAATGAATGAGTTTATATCTTTTCGTCATTTGAAACATTCGTGATTGAAGGTTTTTGAGAATTTAGAAAGTGGAAGTACAGTTTAACTATGAACTGAAGAATATATGTAATTACAATAAAAACTATTAAGATGATAATGATAATTATTATCATATGCTCATTAGTGATAGTCTCCAAGAGGTATTTCCTGAAGTTCTAGTAAGAAACCGTGACCAGTGGACTTCAACCGGGTCAGTTGTGAGATGGCAACTCAATGATGGCAATGGTGGACGGTGACAGGTCCTGGGTTGGAGTCTCACGAGGCGGGATCGTGGATGCGCACGGCTGAGAAGCCTCATACTGAGAAGAAACGGCCGTCCAATGCTTCCAGATTTTCCATGGTGGTCTAGTTTCAACTGACTCATGAATTCAACAATTAAATTACTATTAAGATGGTTATACAATATTGTGTGTTGATCGCAATTAGTCATCTTTACCATTGAACATTGACTAAATTGTCTGAAGGTTAAGCGATCGAGAGCGAATAATGGTACTGTGTTAGGTTCATAGTTGCAAGGTCGTAGATGCCTACTACGAAGAAGTCCCATACTAGGACAAAACAGCTGTTCAATGCTTCCTTGTTATTAATGGTTGTCTAGGTTGAATAGGTTTATGACTTCGACAAAACCAATGTTTCTTCATTGATTATAATCTTACTCAAGTGTGTTTATCACTTCTTCTTAAAAAAAACCTGTGTTTTTAAAAGTGGCTATTTGTTTTGGAAATACAGTAACGTTGCTAAGTCTGATTGAAAAAATATGAACCACAAATTCAACACTTACTATCCTAGAAAAGCTAGCACTAATTTTTCTTTAATTATTTAACAGACAATATCTAAGGTACTTAGTTTTTCATGTAAAATGATACTTCTCTTTCTATCTAATTGATATATCTACCCATATATTAACACCAAATAGAAGTGTACCATGTTTGTCTATGATTATGATTCCTTAAATGTACTATTCAACTTCTATCTTATGTAATCCGACATACTTTTCAAGATCATTCATTGTATATAAAATAGATTATCATCTGGACGAATCGGTACCCCATTGTTGGTATTCACAATGAAACACAAAGTCAATATCTTTCATTTTGAACACACATTACGTTATCTATTGAACTTCATAGTTTGGATGTACACTAACTAATTCATTCAACAGGTATGATTTTTATTTATATTATTAAAACTCAGTCAATAATAACCTAAACCCTCCAAAATATGAACATCTTTCATCTTATTTATAAGATGTGACGTGTCTTTTCATACTCATAGTTCATTAAAGCGTAATGAAGACAAAGAATAACTGTGTTTTTTTTCCTGTTCTTTTCATGAACAGTTCGTGATTGATCATTTACATTAATACACCTAGTTTATGCATCAGCGCATTTGATATCTTTAACTAACTATATTGTAAAAACAAACAAGCCAATTACTTGATTGTTTTATACTGTGTATTCTACTTCAACAAATTCATTCACTTTAAATAATATAATTTGTTTAAGAGGTAAAAAAAACAACAACTTGGCGAAGAAAATTTTTGTTATATCCCGATGAGAATAATGAAGGATAACTGTTAGGATCTATTTCTGGGTTGATAGTATACGGATATTTCTATCGTATAATTGTTAAGTAACTAAACTATTCACACCCGTGTTCCTCTTATTATAAGCTTTATTTTGACCTATGAATTATTATTATGCGATTTACCATTCTTGAGTTATGCCTGATCTATCAATACTATTTCCCACATTCACAGCCACATTTCGCTAAATCTTGTACAAATGTTATTTTCCATTTTATGGTATGATGCGGTCTGTTTGGTCAGTATATAAACCCAGTATGTTTGAAACACATGGTTGATATCGCAGAGGGTGAGAGTGGTGTTCTGGACTTAACAGACGGGGATAGGTAGGAAGCAGGACCTATAAAAGGACTCTAGACTAATTCTACGGGTTTATGAGTCGTTGGTTCGATCGATACGTCACTGCTTCCTAATTGGCGGTATCATTACATTATACATTAATAGAATACAGGGCACAAGTTTTAATAATTTTCTTTTCGACAATATCCTTTATTCAAGTTGTACAGTTTTATTGATAGTATTTTAATAAATAAGGTGGTCTATTAAAAATTAGGGATAGAATTACATAATAAAGTACTCGGGAATTCGCAGTTCAAAATGAACACAATTCAACAACTTATGCACTATAGAAAGTTTGTTTATTCAAATCAAAACTATGTGTTCAAGACCAACATATGCTAGTCTTTATTCTTACTTACTTACTCCTGACACCCCTTGGAAGGAACACAGGCTGCCTACTACGATTCTCCAACCTACTCTCGCGAGTTCGAATCCCGCGAGCTGGATTGTGGATGCGCACTGCTCAGGAGTCCCACAATAGGCCGTCCAGTGTTCTCAGTTTTCCAAAGGTGGTCTAACACCAATCGTTTTATGATCTCAATCAAATCCTTTCCATTTACTATTCATTCTTTCGATGCCTTCTTCCAATTCCCGACAAAATGTGTTCGTCGGCTTTCATCATTTTTTCTTCTTCTCTCCAGGATTTCAAGTTGGGGCTTGCCGTGTAATGTAATTTGACCTAATTCTAACATGGTCCAAGCGTTTATTATTTTGTCTTCGATAAATGAACTGTTAATACTAGTGTTTTTAATTGTTTATCGTTTGTTATAAAAATTTGACGTTAACTCAAACGTATCCATCAACTTCCTCATACTCATCAAGTGAACAATTATCTTTCATACATTTTGACTTTACCATATCATTGTCTAAGTTACCAATCATTTTATATCACCCAATTGGACACCTGAAATTTTCTAACAATTTATTGTATGATCCTAGTCCTATTTCTTAATAAACTATTTTATTTCTTAATTACCAATACATGAAATTGTTTATTGAAACTAT